TATTGTTAGTTTTTTTCTAAACATCGGATTAGTTAAATTTTTAATTTCATTGCTAAAACTAAAGGGGTCTTTAAATAAATTTTAAAAAGCTCTATAAGTATAAGCTCAATCGTTTCTTACTATTTGTATAAGCGTAATGCTTTTTTCGTATTAAATTAAAAAAATTTTGTTGAAGTTTACAAAAAAATTAGATGGTTTAATGCTAATATACGGCAGCATTGTTATTAATAATGATACATTTTTGTTTTAAACGGTAAATATGTGACTCCATTGAGGGGTCTCAGACTCAGAGTCAACATTTCAAGGATGCAAGAGATGTTTTTAAAAACTTTTTAAAAACACCTGTGAGAAAATCAAACATAAATACAAAAAATAATAAGCAAAATGATTATAATTTTGTTTAATAACAATCAAGCAAACTTTTTAGGTCTATAATTATATACATACAATCTTTATTATTAATTTAGTGTGTGTGTGTGTGAGTGCCTGTGTATATGAATATGTGTAAGACAGAGTGTCCTCCCTTTACTTAAAAAAACATTATTTTTCAGGTGAAACATTGAAAGCCATGTCATGTTTTTATTTTTAACTCTTGCAGTTAATCCCTCTTAATCCCAATGAAATTAGATTAAGCCTAATTGCTACCAGTGTCATAAAACATACATATAAACTATTTATTGATGTGTTATTTTATTCAACAGAGACAAAGTTGCAGCTGAAGGGTTTGAACTCAACTATTTTGGAATCAGAGATTTTCTATCTGGATCTAAAGGCAAAAAATTAGTAGATGAATTTGAAATAATTAACAGTTGTTTGATCAGAGAAGTTGATTTTCAAAGCAGGGGATTACTTGACAAAAAACGTGATCCTGGATCAGTTCCCTTCTCCAGCATAAATGAAATAGCTTCTTGTAAGATAAGAAACTGTGAAATCATTTTCGCTTGTGGTAACATCTTAGATATAACAGTGGAGGCTATAGTCAACCCATATACCACTCACCCACTAACTGAAAGTGAAATTGGAAAGGCAATTTTAAAAAGAGGTAATGACATGTAATAGGAATGTTAAAAATGTATAATAGAAATTTTTATAAGTATTCTTATCTTAGCAATCAATTTCAAACAGATTACAGTAATTAAATGATAAAAAAAGCCTACAATATAGATTTATAAGTAGCATATGATGCATTAATGCCAAGCTTTGCCCAAGGCTAAACAATTCAAAGCATGTGACAATCTTATATACTCGCTGCTAAGAAACATTTTTTTTTAAATTTACAAATCTTTTCTATGAATTCAGCTATTCACCTAAATTTGTCTAGTCTTACTTGTCTAGTCATAGTATGGCCTTTATCTTTGCACAACGACATAGTTTATAAATTTCTTAAAAATAGTTCCTTGGCAAAGACTAATAATTTTAAAATTTTGTTGTTGTGTTGTGTGTAATTTATTATGTGCAGGTGGTGTTAAAATTGAAGATGAGCTGAAGAGATATCCACTGTCAACAAAACTGAAAATCACTTCAGGCGGTACTCTAAAAAATATCAAGAGAATTATTCATTTCGCTCTTTCAAATTTATCTGGCAATTTTGATGATGCTAAAGAAATACTTCTGCTTTGTCTGGGAGAGGCAAACAATCACAACATGCAATCAGTTGCAATACCTTTTATGGTAATAACAGGTAGGCGTAACAAAATTTTTAGAATATTTGTAATAGTATTGTTAACTCTCTGCAGTCTGACGTTTTTTTCACATTTCTTAAAAATCTTAAGGAGATTTTTGAAAATTATTAATTAACTAATCTGAAATAGCTCTGATCTGATCAGTTATTGTATTAACTTGTTCATCTTTGAATCAGCTATCATTATATATTTTTTGTATATTTTTTTTCTTAGTTATAAAAATAAATAAAATATAATTGGAGAATTACTATTTTTCATTTTATGCAAAATTTTGATAAAATTTTCACACAGTATTTATCAACAACATTCATGTTTATTGTTCTCTCAGTAATATAAATTTCCATGATTGATTTTCTCAAGATTTTAATGATATTTTTTTTAAAAATCTCTCTCTAAGGCCTGCTTAAAATCGGTAAGGTTGGTGTCCTAACAGCGATCGTCAATGCTATACAAACATATTTGGATGAAGAAGGCTCTTCCTGTCAATTAAACAAAATATTCTTGTGTGACATGAGAGGGAATAATGTTGTAGACATCAAAGAGAGGTGTGAAGCAGTGTGGCAATTAAAGCTGGATACATTGAAAGCAATCCAAGATTTTGGGGAAAAAAAATGTAAGTTTTGATAGACTCACTTATACTACTGACTTATAGATTCTCAGAATAAAATGTGATGTTTGTTAGTATAACAGCCGATGTGATTGCATTGATTTATTCACTAATGAATTGTGTTGCAAGTGAGTAATTCTTGCATATTTTTCTAGTTGTTAAGCAGCTTTATCAGTTTTTTTAAACTATTAGCCATGGACAGTTTTAGCACTAACAATGGAATCTGAATACGTGTAAAATAAAGCATAAGCCAGGCACAATTACCAAAACAAAGATAGATGTTTTTCGACTAAGGAAATATGTGGATCATTTTAATCAACAGTTTTTATTTCCTTTGTTGGCCCCATTCAAGGCTTTTGATAAAATGTGACGGAGAAGCGTTCGAATTTTAATTCTCAAACATTATGAAACAACTTTAATTCTCACATTTATGGAACTATCTAAATTAAAATATCTTGCATGGTTTTAATACAATGAACCAGTAGCTTAGCTAATGTTAGTGCATCCCAGGACGGCACAAGATTTTTTAAGCCCAATAGTTGTTTGAAAATGCCGCCCCTTTATATAAAGGCACAATTGTAGCCTGGACAGATTGCCCCTTAACACCCTTCCTATGTCCCTTTCATGAAATGACTTTTTAAAATATTTATAGCTTAAATGTAATTCCTTAATAATAATATATTATTCTTCCCCTATACTTTTGACTGGAATATTTTAGACAACTAAAACCTTATTGCGTTATTCATATATATATATATATGGCGATATTTTTGTACAGATGAAAAAAGTTTTGCCAAGACAAGAAAACAGAAGCATGAAATCTCAAAATTTGGACCAGTCAAAGTTGATGTGAAGAAGAATAAAATTACCAAATCTGATGTAAGAATCATTTCTGATGCGTGACTGCATAATCTTTTAGGAATATAAAAATTGAATTAGATCTTAATTTAACTTTGCACAGCATGTTCATAGATCATTAAAAACTGCATTTTTCCCCCAAGACCGACGCAATTGTTATTACAATAACTGGAGGCCTGGAGTTGAGAAAGGGGAAAATAGGCAAGGATGTCCTGCAATATGGAGGAGCTTCGATTCAAGATGAGTTACGGAACAAGTATGTTTTGTAAGGCAATAATTGAAGAATTAATATAAATTTGGGTTGAGGCTACATGTAACTGATATTGATTTTTCATTTCATTTTAAAAGATTTTGATAGGCCCAACAATAAAAATAAAACACTTTCCTAGCTCATCTAGTAGCCTACTAGTCCTACCACATTTTCTTTCCTCAAAATAATGTACACCCACGCCTTGAAACATAATAAACTTATCTCCCTCCCATATTGCACATTGCCGTCATGAAGACTACTCTTCTTGGTCTTCACATAACAGGTATGCTTCAAGAATTCAGTCTTGGGAATTCGCTGAAACAAAATCTGGCAACTTAAAATGTAAGCTTATCATGCATGCTTGCTTATCCTGCTACCATGGAAAAAAAACTGAGGTAAAGATACATAAAGAATTTGTGATTAAATTTGTAAGATATCATTCCTTTTCATTTTAGAATGTCAAAATTAATTTATAAATGCATCATTACAGATTTAAGTTAAAGTTTGGCAGGTACAGCTGATTTAGTGATTGTTATATTTGGGCCATGTGCATTGCTTACTCCAAATGCACTAAGTCAATTAGTATTTCAGGGAATGGGATTATGCACTAAGTCATTCAGGGAAGGGGACTAGACTTTTCCACTATTGTGAATGTGGCTTAATGGTTAAGGGTTGTATCAAATGTGTGAGCAAGCAACATTTATGGCAGATATCTATTTGTATTCTTTACCATCTGTCATACAACAAGAACTTTGTAAAAAAAAAAAAAAATCTCTTTTGATATTTACAAATCCTTCTGAATTGTTTACTTGATTAATAATTTATGTCGTAAATTTTAAGCATCACTGACGGTAATAAGTTTGCAGCTTCATCTGAGACTTTAAAAAAACAAAATCAATCCTATTTTAATCTAGAAGTTATTTATAAAATCCCAGAAAACATACTAAAATTATTTGAAAAGCTTAGTGGTTGGAGAGGCTGAGTCTTAATTACAACTTATGGCATCTACAAAATGTATATGGTGCAATGATGAGAGGGATGAACATTATTTTGAATATGCAGTAGTGTCTGATGAGTTGAAGCTAGCTGATCAAGAAAACTTAAGTAACATTTTGGCTTTTTTAAAAAATTTTGTGGCAACTTAATTTTTTCAAAAAAAATTATTGTATGCGTTAAAATATGTGTTATCATAACCAACAACAAAATAATGAAACTGATATTCTAGACTGTTGAAATTATGTCTTACATATTTCTGATGTATGATTTTTAATACTTTTATTTTTTTTTATTCTTATCATGTTGGAAATTATTTCAACCTTACAAATATACAGATTAACTCTTAACATTAACAGTATTCACGTTTTTTTAAGTTACTTTTTGATGAGTTGCAAATTACCCATAAATAATATATATATTAAAAAATAGTATCTTGTTGAAACTATACTAGCAGATTTCTCAAAAAAAAATATTTTTCTAATCCTACAGCTGGTTTGCTTAGTGTACAAACTACTGAAAAGAGCCAATGATCTTAACTTAAGGTCAATCTCACTTCCTGCACTGGGTACTGGTGGCTACAAATATCCTGCTCGTAAGAAGCTATGTCTATTAATGTTTTAAAGGAAAAAAGGCATCTGTTTGTTAACATATCCCTTAAATGTCTTTTTTTTCCTGCATCAATTAACATCCAACTAAACTGGCAAGGGCAAATAATTTTTTCAACAAAATTTCGTTTGTAACTGTTTTAAAAGTTTTTGACTATAAGCATCATTTTAATAATGTCACTAATAATTAATTGATCCGCTTTTTTCCTCTTTCTATGTATTTTCATCTTTATGCATTGAATTTTGGTATTACATGAAGAATTGATGATTTTAAATTTGGTTTTAAAGATTAATTTTTTAAATGTAAAATTTAGGCAGAAAAATAATTATATTGAGCTGAAAAAAATATTGCTGAAAAAACAATATTTAGATGAATAGAAAAATAATAAAGAAAATAATTCAATGTATTACAATATATCAAATCTTATATATTTACAGAAGAATCTGCTTTAGCAATTAAAGAAGGTATTAGCCATTTTGTCAGTGATCACAAGAATATATCCTTGACAAAGATCGATATTATAATTTTTTACAAAGATACAGAAACTGCACAGGTGAGTTGCCCTTTTTACACTTTCTCGAATAGTTTATGAGGAGAATCCTGAAAGCACAGTCTTTGATTCACTTTTTGCAAGAAAACCTTGACTTCTGGTTTACATTGGCCCTCCATTAATGCTCTTTTTGTTGAAAGGGTTTTGTTTTGTGGTCACTCTGGATGTTTGTTTCTCACAAACACTCTGATTCACAGCCGGAACGGGGGTAAATGATGATTTTTCCATTTGCCAATTTCGATGTTAGTTTCCGTCATATTTCATTCTCTTTGCCAATGTCCTTAAAGAGCAGCCACCCAATAAGTCTTTCACCTCTGCTGATTCTCTAGAGAGTTGGAGAAGGTAATTTGAATTACTGCCTTCCTCCAGTATCCTTACGCAGCTTTGGTGGAAGCTGTTGAGTTTCCACTCGTGACTGGTGTATCCGGTCCACAATTCACTGCCATATAAAAGTGTATAAAGAAAACATACCTGATAGATGTTTAATTTATGTGCTTACTTTGAGTTTAGAATTATTCCACACCCGCTTATTCAATTTGGCGATAATATTAGCTGATGTTTTTTGTTGTTGTTTTTTTTGGTTTTTTTTATGAGTGCGGTTTTGCTGTGGAGAGTATTAGTGTAACTGTTGCTAGGTGCTTTGTATTTGTGATGTATTTGGGTATAGGAGATGACGTTGTTGGTTGTTATGGTTTTGTAGTAGAGATGGAGTTGAAGAGAGAAAGCGGATGAAATAAGACTTGTTGTTTCTATCAGTAAAGAACCGTATGTCACATAGATCATTGATTTGTTGAATAATTAATCTTAAACGTATCGAAGTCATTGAACTGCTTATTTACAATTTGCCGTTCCTAACATTGTTGTATTCCTCTATCGAGCAGCAGCCATATGTGTTTGAATTATTGTACAACCACATAATATACATTGATTTAAAGTTTACCTTGTTCTTGGAACAGGATTTTACTTTTGTTAGTTTTATCAGATTACGATGAATGAACATGACGTGAGAAACTCAATCGTGTAGACTGGTTATGTGAGAGAACCAACTTACTAACAATCTTTATTACAAAGCTGATAATCAACGTTATCCCGTCATCAATGTTATTCACACAGAGATTAAAATATAGCCAGATCCTTTATAGGAGCCAGAATTATCAAATCATTGATCCCGGGCCGTCAAGATATAGAAGAACAGAGTGTAGATTAAAAATGTGTATTAATTGCAGAAATGACACTGATCAATAAATGAATATTAGACTATGAAATTTGGCACTTTTTTCCTTTGAATTAACCAAAAAATCAACTATAGCTGGTTGAATTGCTCATTCCTGCCAAAGACAATCAGGTACTGGAACAAACTTTAAAAAGGAACAGTTAAGGTGACAATTTTTGACAAATTAGCATCTATTGCCTCAGGCCTTTCAACCCCCAGTTCATGATACTCTCACCCGGCGAAATATCCTCTTCAATAACAGGCACAGAAACTTTGCAAATCCCCTCTACATAAACAGGAGTCAGAATGATCAATACATTGATCTTGGGCAGTTAATTTATAGAAGAAGAAGAAGCTCTCTGGCATACAACATTTTCAACTTTAATAAAATTACCATCCAGTTGTAATGTAATTCTGATTTCTTGTTTGTGCTGCACTAATTATCTTCCACTGTCATGGCTATTTAATATATATGTAACTACACATAGATATTTCTGAGAGTATTTCTGAGAATAATCTTCTTAAATGTACCCTATTTATACGATTTAAAATAATTATTAATTCAATTTATATTTTGTGTCGAACCCTTCAGTAATTTCTTGAGAAGCATTGCAAAATAAGTTTGAATGTGGTTGGCTCATTTAATAAATCTATTTAGCCTACTACAGTGATGCTGTTTGTTTACATTAAGGTATACATGAATTGGTTTTCATAGCTGCCGTTAGCTCTTTTCTGCATGAAAGAAGATCAAAACTCATTGACTTATATTTGATGCCATCAGTTGACTGATGTCTATGATTGACTTATATTTGAATATTTGATGCCATCAGTCAAAACATGATGTGTGCTTTAAATTATTTAATTTAATTTTTTTAAATGCTAAAATCTCCTGTGCAAAGGTTATTGCTAATCATTTTTAAAGAAGTCATGTGCAAAGTTTATTACTATTCATTTTTAAAGAGTTCTGTGCAAAGTTTATCACTATTCATTTTTAAAGAAGTCCTGTGCAAAGTTTATTACTATTCATTTCTAAAGATGTCTTGTGTGAAGTCTTTCTTACTAATCATTTCTAAAAATATCTTGTGCAAAGTTTTGTATATAGCTCCAATGATAATACCTGAATGATATTGTTTGTTATTTTATTTTTGTTGCTACAAAGTTATAGGGCTAGCAAATGGCAAAGGCAAAGATTTGTGACAAACATGAGTAATGGATCTGGAAGCCTACATTTTACAGGACAAAAATTGCATAATTGTGAACTTTGTTGTGAAATATTTTAATTGCTGGCATTTGTTGTTTATCAGTCGTTCTTCTCAATTTTCTCTGGAGAAAATGATGAAAAGGAAGAAAATGAGGATATGACACCTGTCGGGTTTGATTCAGCAGCAGTTGCAGACACCAGTAAAAATGAAGGTATATTAAACATTACAAA